GATCGATTTTGCATAATTTGACTGCATATTGGTATCGAATATCGATCCGGGATTTTTCGGATTGCCAAGTGAGGATGCTTGCACTAGACTAAAATGCGGATGGTATTGCTGCTGGCATAATGATTATAGTTTCAATACGCGAAATCTTTATGCGTGGCGGATTATCCGCACTCATAATTGTTCTAAATTGAATTGAGGCCAACCATAATTGATCATAGTAATTCTCCTCAAAATTTCGAACTATTCGAGACCACATAAAGGGACAGTCGGAACATTCAGGTTTTTCCCTGATGTACAAGCAGTCTTGTTATCTTTTCATTTCCTTTTAAGTGGTTTTTATCGAAGAAAAATTGAAGTCCGAGCAGCAGCCTCAGAACCAGCATTAAGCTTTCATTCTCTGAGTTTCTCTCTGGCCAGCGCTAGAGTAAAACTAGCTCAATAAAGTGCTTCGAAAAAAACTGTTTTGTTCCTCATCAGTCAGCTATTGATTGCACCAGTCGTTTAATTGTTGTTGAACGTTAGTACCAATCTACTATTGCAATTAGTTGCAAAAAAGGCCAGTTATTCAAAAAAAACAACAAGAGCAAAACAAAGATTGATTTCAGATTTTAAACAAAGCTAGCTTTTTATTCGTTTAAAAATTTTTTGTTGAAACCATGGCGTATACTTCAAAATCAACAAAAAAAATTCAAAAAATATGGCAAACAATTTTTCTGAGAAGTGCAATTTTTTCCAGAAAAAATATTTCGGAGTTTTTTGTGGAAAAAGACTTTCGAAATCCGCGGAAATTTTTCATTTATTTGGTTAATTATCAATAAATTATGTAATCGGAAAAACGTGGTTTTTTATCAGTGGCGCCGGTCTTGAATTGCCAACTTTTGGTCGCGCCGGTCTGGAATTGCCTATTTAGAGACGCGCCATTCTGGAATTGTAAAAACTGAATCGGACTTTTCTTAAGTCGCATACCTCGACGCGAGGAGTAAACCAGTCAAAATTAGCTTCATTTGAGTGAAATATAATGAAATTTGTAACTGTTTTCGTCTTGTTTGTATATCACTTTAAAAATGTTTCAGCTAATTGATATTAACAGAAACAGTTCAACTGGCAAATCAATCCAAGTTTTTTTCCATCAATTCAGTGTTTTAAGTTTTAATTGTTCGTTTTTGCTCTTTTTCGACGTATCGGAATTTTCAAAATACAAATTTCAACGGTTGTAGAGAGCTTAAAAATTCTCTCACGCGTTGATAACGCGAGAGGTTTTACTTGCTTTGGTAGTTTTTTGATTATATCTAAACAAGATTAGAGAAATTTATCCTGAAAACGGACACCTGATGACAGATCTGAAGATCCAATGGTGATTCTCCCAAGCACTCATTTTATTCAGGTTTTTTTTAAATTTTGTAATTTTATCTGCCAGTTTCTTATCTGAGTAAGTAGTACTTGTAATATTATAGTAATAGGGCAAAAATGAAAATTTGAGTCAGTGGAATTTATATCTGCTCAATTTTTTTGCAGCTTTGCTGGAAACATATTTGGATGGGAGCTTACACTATCCAAAAAAGTTTTCGTTTTATCCAGGTTTTCTATAAAGAAATTAGAATTGCCGCACCAAACAACCAAAATTTAATGTTAAGCATTGCAAAAGAATGAAAAACTCAATCGCCAAAGCTTACACCAAGAAAAAATTGAAATTAGAAAATTTTCAGAAAACAATAGAAAAATACATTTATTTGGCACGATTTGAATAAATGAAAACCAATTTATTTAGTCATAGTATTGCACATTGAATCACTGGGAAGAAAGGTATTTGTGGATTCATAAATCAGAAATCAGGGGTCAAATGTGAAAGGTGAGCGCCAATGCAGACTATACAAAGGTCACTCAGGGTCACGGCTCTTCTTCTACCTTCCTGAACAGACCCCCCCCCCTACCCTTTCCCCGATTTCGTATAGAGTTAGATATTCGGTAAGAGCCCCTTGGTTTTATGTAAGAAGAACTGAATGGGCGCGCCTTTAGGCAATCACCGCTTGTCAAATTTGATAATCACCCATTAGCGTACACAATTTTTGAGGCAAAAATCACAAAATCACAGGTGGGCATAAAGTAGAAGAATTTGATCATTTTTTAAATGCCAGGTCAACTTAAGACACCTGTCAGAATCTAATAAGAGCAAACTTATCTATATCTGATACTTAGTTTAGAGTATCACCGTATGGCTGTATTAATTCAACTCGATTTGAAAAAATTATCACGCATTGATCACGTGAGAAACAGTTCAGTGTTGATTTTTTCATTCAAAATAGCGAAAACTGAAGGGAGCAGGAGTGTGATTAAGATGTGAACTAATGGATCTGCAGACTGTGATTTGCCCCCCTGAAGAGAGGCGGAGGGGCTCCTGTTGGACACTGAGTTCACTCCACCTCCTCTGTCGCCCCCAATTATGTTTTTGTCCCCTCCCCCTTCAGGTCCGGCTCCCCGTCGGTCCACATTGTGATACCTACATTCATCGCTACCTGAAATAAGAACAATGTCAATTTAAGTCAGCGAAGAGAAAGTTTTGAACGTTGACGTTTCTAAGTTCCGTCGTATGCAATTCTGACAACGATCACATATTTGATTAATATTGTTTGGCTCTAAAGATTTATATTCTTGTTTCAGATTCCAGATGAAAAAAATTAGACGAAGTTAATTGATGTGTAGAGGGTATGTGTGTGTGCGCGTGCGTATGTGTATTTATGTATCTGTATGCGTGTGTGTGTGTGGTCGGAGGTGGGGGTTGAGAGTTCTAGTTCTAATTACTCACAGACGCATAGTCCCTCTGGGGACTTGTAGTAGTTCTGAGGACATCTCACCCAGTCATAGAACTTCTCATAGGGACATGTGTCGTAGTACGGCCTACAGCAACACATTAATTAGAACTAATACATTGCTTTAAGATCAACCGATCATCCGCTGCTTTAGTCCTGACAACGGTATACTTGTGATTTCTGCGTTTCGATTACTGGGGTTCGCCGAGGATCTATGAAAGGCTATCCAGCTTGTCTTATTATAGCCCGGTTCTCAAAGATAGAACAAAGTTCACGAGCTTAAGCCCGACCAGAACTTGAACAATTTAGTTTGCCTGAATACCAAAAAGTTTCAATCTATTGTTAGGTTGACTTCCATTGCCTGGATCTGCTCGGGGTCTATTCTCATGGGCGAATAACCGAAAACAAAAACAGCCGAAAGTCAATTATTAAAATGAATCAGTTGCCGTTCAACTAAAAGGAATTTAATGAAGCAATATTTCGCTATAAATTGTAATTTTATTCCAATTCGCCGGTGGTCAAGAATAATATGAAAATTTTGCACATTTCTGCCGTGTTTATATTCGACAAATTTTAATTTAAAATCCCTGGAAATCTTTCCAAATAAAAAAATACTGAAATCTGAGTGGCTAATTTTTATTTTCGCCCATTCGGTCCTTCTTCTATGGGGAATTGCAACGATATGCACTGGATATTCGGGACTTGGAAATAATAACAGTCGGGAGTTTTTGCAATTTTGTACACGTTCAAAAGTCAACTTTAGAATTTTTCCTTTCCTTTTTATTGGCTGAAACATTTTGAGAAAGACGTGTATCGTATCAGCGTAATTGTTTCAATTTCCGCAACAAAAGTAATGTTTGTGCTTCTTCGGACAAACAGAATATTTTTTTCTTCAGAATTTCTACAAATTTCTACTTTTCAATTAGCCATTTTTGACAGAATTTTTTTGTATCATTCAAAATGTATTGTTGTCTTGAGCTTAGATTAACAAGATATTTCACCTGTGATTATTTTTCATAGAGTAATGGGGTTTTACAGATTGTCATTTTTGTCTAATTTAGAACAATTTTTAATTTTTTTGCTATATTTATTTTTTTCATGTTATTACTAAAAAGGAACGTTTGCAAGAGAAGAAAGTTGTTTTTTCTTGGTCATTATATCTTGTTCTCATCGAATTTTTTTAACGAAATTTTAAATACATCTAATTGCAGCTGAGCTAAAATAGCAGGACTTATATGAGAGATACAAAAGTCTTATCAAAAAAGGATATCTCCAACAGTTGGTGAAAAATTCTTGGAACTACTTGAATTTGGAGATCAATTAAATTTTATGAAAGCATTTTTTAAAAATTTTGTAACAATTATACAATTACTTTTTCTTAATGTTTTGGGATAAATAGTTTGGTATTTTGCATTTTCTGCTTTTTTAAAATTTGCGATTAGCAGTTTCTCCTGTGCGTTGCATAATTCACTTATTTAATTTAATCTGGGTTTTATCCGGGTTTTCCTTTTGAGGAGATAGCGACAGAAAGTTAGTGACGTGTGGTTTTTAGCTTTAAACAAATTTTGACTTCTTAAACCGCCACTTTTGACGGGAGTTTTTTGTACAATTGAAAAAACCATCAACGTCCTGCGCGCATAACAAAAAAATTGCTACTTGCAACAACTTTAAAAAAATTATTAAGGCTGTTAAGTTGGCAGTTTAGCTAATTTGGGATAATGGAATTGCGCAAAAATGCTAAATATCAATAAGAGCTTGGTTTAGGGGACGGTGTATTCCAATTTAACACACGAGCTCTCACGCACAAGAACATAGTCTTGAATAATTCGACTGCCTTCTATTCTCACTCTCACGCTTTTTGTTGAAAAAAATCTAATAAAATGTTCGAGACTAATTTTTTTTATTTTTAAAACAGTTAGAATTAATATTTTTTTACTCTATCTCTTCACAAGCTACGCTAAGTGCCAACTGATAGTTTTGCGTAAGGTACCGCATTAATCAGTGCATATAATTTTTCTCAGATTAATTTGGAAGAATTTGTTGTTCCGACTTTCGATACGAAAGTAACGGAATAATTGTGCTCGGGGTGGGTTTTTCTTTCTTCAGACAAATTTCGGCTTTTTAACTAGCCATTTCAAGTATCAGCGTAAATGTTTCAATTTCCGCAACAAAAGTAATCTTTGTGCTTCTTCGGACAAACAGAATATTTTTTTCTTCAGAATTTCTACAAATTTCTACTTTTCAATTAGCCATTTTTGACAGATTTTTTTTGTATCATTCAAAATGTATTGTTGTCTTGAGCTTAGATTAACAAGATATTTCACCTGTGATTATTTTTCATAGAGTAATGGGGGTTTACAGATTGTCATTTTTGTCTAATTTAGAACAATTTTTACTTTTTTTGCTATATTTATTTTTTTCATGTTATTACTAAAAAAGGAACGTTTGCAAGAGAAGAGAGTTGTTTTTTCTTGGTCATTATATCTTGTTCTCATCGAATTTTTTTAACGAATTTTTAGATACATCTAATTGCAGCTGAGCTAAAATAGCAGGACTTATATGAGAGATACAAAAGTCTTATCAAAAAAGGATATCTCCAACAGTTGGTGAAAAATTCTTGGAACTACTTGAATTTGGAGATCAATTAAATTTTATGAAAGCATTTTTTAAAAATTTTGTAACAATTATACAATTACTTTTTCTTAATGTTTTGGGATAAATAGTTTGGTATTTTGCATTTTCTGCTTTTTTAAAATTTGCGATTAGCAGTTTCTCCTTTGCGTTGCATAATTCACTTATTTAATTTAATCTGGGTTTTATCCGGGTTTTCCTTTTGAGGAGATAGCGACAGAAAGTTAGTGATGTGTGGTTTTTAGCTTTAAACAAATTTTGACTTCTTAAACCGCCACTTTTGACGGGAATTTTTTGTACAATTGAAAAAACGATCAACGTCCTGCGCGCATAACAAAAAAATTGCTACTTGCAACAACTTTAAAAAAATTATTAAGGCTTTTAAGTTGGCAGTTTAGCTAATTTGGGATAATGGAATTGCGCAAAAATGCTAAATATCAATAAGAGCTTGGTTTAGGGGACGGTGTATTCCAATTTAACACACGAGCTCTCAGGCACAAGAACATAGTCTTGAATAATTCGACTGCCTTCTATTCTCACTCTCACGCTTTTTGTTGAAAAAAAATCTAATAAAATGTTCGAGACTAATTTTTTTTATTTTTAAAACAGTTAGAATTAATATTTTTTTACTCTATCTCTTCACAAGCTACGCTAAGTGCCAACTGATAGTTTTGCGTAAGGTACCGCATTAATCAGTGCATATAATTTTTCTCAGATTAATTTGGAAGAATTTGTTGTTCCGACTTTCGATACGAAAGTAACGGAATATTTGTGCTCGGGGTGGGTTTTTCTTTCTTTAGACAAATTTCGGCTTTTTAACTAGCCATTTCAAGTATCAGCGTAATTGTTTCAATTTCCGCAACAAAAGTAATCTTTGTGCTTCTTCGGACAAACAGAATATTTTTTTCTTCAGAATTTCTACAAATTTCTACTTTTCAATTAGCCATTTTTGACAGATTTTTTTTGTATCATTCAAAATGTATTGTTGTCTTGAGCTTAGATTAACAAGATATTTCACCTGTGATTATTTTTCATAGAGTAATGGGGGTTTACATATTGTCATTTTTGTCTAATTTAGAACAATTTTTTAATTTTTTTGCTATATTTATTTTTTTCATGTTATTACTAAAAAGGAACGTTTGCAAGAGAAGAAAGTTGTTTTTTCTTGGTCTTTATATCTTGTTCTCATCGAATTTTTTTAACGAAATTTTAAATACATCTAATTGCAGCTGAGCTAAAATAGCAGGACTTATATGAGAGATACAAAAGTCTTATCAAAAAAGGATATCTCCAACAGTTGGTGAAAAATTCTTGGAACTACTTGAATTTGGAGATCAATTAAATTTTATGAAAGCTTTTTTTAAAAATTTTGTAACAATTATACAATTACTTTTTCTTAATGTTTTGGGATAAATAGTTTGGTATTTTGCATTTTCTGCTTTTTTAAAATTTGCGATTAGCAGTTTCTCCTGTGCGTTGCATAATTCACTTATTTAATTTAATCTGGGTTTTATCCGGGTTTTCCTTTTGAGGAGATAGCGACAGAAAGTTAGTGATGTGTGGTTTTTAGCTTTAAACAAATTTTGACTTCTTAAACCGCCACTTTTGACGGGAGTTTTTTGTACAATTGAAAAAACCATCAACGTCCTGCGCGCATAACAAAAAAATTGCTACTTGCAACAACTTTAAAAAAATTATTAAGGCTGTTAAGTTGGCAGTTTAGCTAATTTGGGATAATGGAATTGCGCAAAAATGCTAAATATCAATAAGAGCTTGGTTTAGGGGACGGTGTATTCCAATTTAACACACGAGCTCTCAGGCACAAGAACATAGTCTTGAATAATTCGACTGCCTTCTATTCTCACTCTCACGCTTTTTGTTGAAAAAAATCTAATAAAATGTTCGAGAATAATTTTTTTTATTTTTAAAACAGTTAGAATTAATATTTCTTTACTCTATTTCTTCACAAGCTACGCTAAGTGCCAACTGATAGTTTTGCGTAAGGTACCGCATTAATCAGTGCATATAATTTTTCTCAGATTAGTTTGGAAGAATTTATTGTTCCGACTTTCGATACGAAAGTAACGGAATATTTGTGCTCGGGGTGGGTTTTTTTTTTCTTCAGACAAATTTCGACTTTTTAACTAGCCATTTTTGACGGAATTTTTTTTATATCATTCGAAAAGTATTGTTGTTCTGAGCTTAAATTTGAAAAGATATTTCACCTGTGATCATTTTTCGTAAAATTACGGGGGTTTAAAGATTGGCATTTTGGCCAATCTGGGACAATTAACGCGCGATACATTTCGCGCTATTAACGCGTAAGCGGAGAGTTAATCCGTCTTAGAAATCGTTCCAAATTGGTTAAAAGAAGCTTATTTGCCATAGTTGGTTTGTTACAAGGAGCAAAATCTATCCTTTTGTACTTAATATGTCGTGTAGGGGGATGATTTTCATTAAAAAATTTCAAATTTTAGAAAGAAAATGTTCATTTTATTTCATTTCAATAAATTTTTTAAGTTATTACTGCTCCATAAACCTCCTTAAAAGGCAGTCGGAACATTCAGGGCTTCGCCTTGATCCAAAGAGTCTTGCTTTACCATTTACGTTTAAGCGATTAAAATATATTGCGCGTTATTGTTCCGGCTTTCGATACGAAAGTAACGGAATATTTGTGCTCGGGGTGGGTTTTTTTTTCTTCAGACAATCTTCGACTTTTTAACTAGCCATTTTTGACGGAATTTTTTTATATCATTCGAAAGGTATTGTTGTCCTGAGCTTAAATTTGAAAAAAAATTTCACCTGTGATCATTTTTCGTAAATTTACGGGGGTTTAAAGATTGCCATTTTGGCAAATTTGAGAGAATTAACGCGCGATATATTTCGCGCTAGTAACGCGTAAGCGGAGAGTTAATCCGTCTTAGCAATCGTTCCAAATTGGTTAAAAGAATTGGTTATTTGGCTTAATTGGTTATTTGGCATAATTGGTTTGTTACAAGGAGCGAAATCTATCCTTTTGTACTTAATATGTCGTGTAGGGGGATGATTTTCTTTAAAAAAATTCAAATTTTAGAAAAAAAAATTTCATTTTGTTTTATTTCATTTAATTTCTTAAATGTTATTACTGCTCCATAAACATTAAAAGGCGGTCGGAACATTCAGGGTTTCGCCCCGATACGAGCAGTCATGTTTATCTTAGCTCGAATTATAATCGTCAAAGTGGTCTTAAATAAAAACCGTTTTCAATGTGTAAAATTCACATCAAATAAATTTTGAATATTTAGCTACAGGCAACAATATCCTTCAGTTGCTATAAAAATAGTCAAAATTGACTGAATAAAAACAATCACCCCAATCAAATGCTGTGCGTCTATTGAATCAATATTCAAATCAATTAGAGTCTAATTGATTTGAATATTGCTTCAATAGACGCACAGTGTGTACTTGACATAGCGTGTAGGTTGAAAATCTCTTAAATAATTTTTTAAAATATTTTAATGTCATCTTTGTTGATCAAAAACTAAATCATAAGAATTAATAGGCTGTCGGAACATTCAAGACGTAGCCTTGATACGAACAGTTTTGTTCATGCACCATTGCAGGAGAATCAATGCTGTTTTCTGAGCTTTTTTATGTTTTTTTTCTAATGACGGATTCAACAATCAATTGAAGCTATACACTGGTGTTGCAAATGAAATTGTTAGTTCGTTAACTTTGCTGAAACATTTCCGCAGTTCCGTAATGGCATATACAATAACCTCGATAAGCCGGTTTGCCCTCTTTCCAATATCATTTTTCAAAGCGCGAAACGATTTTTGTATTCATATATGCTTGCAAATTTTTGTTTATTTATGTATGCATGAAAACTTGTATGCATGCGAAAATAAAATATTTTTTGCAAAGTTTTTCAATTTTCCTGGAAGTTTTTTTGAAAAGCGATTATTTTTATTGCTTTTTTGCATTGCGTATGTTTCATTTTGGGCAATCAAATATTGATAAAAAATACCAACAAAGAAGTTAAGCCAAAATTTAGACGTTTGGTTTTTTCGATAAGTATGTTTCTTTTTAAACAACTTATCATAGTTTAGGCTGATCATGCATATAATGAGCAGTATAATGTGCTATATTTTGTTTTGATGTATTCAGTGACGCAGGGGTTTAAAAAACAATGTTTTTTTTACTGTCTTTGGATACCAACACGACCCAATAAGTTTGGCAATAAAAATAAGTTAAGCTAAACATGTTTTTTCATGAAAATATTGGAATCATAAAATTTTGATATACGACATATACGAGTTTACAGAATGAGATCAACCCGATCTGTGTGCGTAAACTTCTAGTAAGTTTCCCGATTTGTGTGCGTTCACCATGGCGACGACTTTGTGTAATGATGCGCTCTCACTTGCCCTCTAGCTTCATAAGTCTACCCTGTTCTGGCCTAATTCGGCTGCAATAACCAAAAACAATAGCATGTAATTCTTAAACAGGGGCACAACAGCGGTTCGCCGTGATGAGCTGTACAGCTCTTTCCCCCGTGGATAAATTATCTTAATCTTAATAGTAGTACCAAGTGAAAATTCTAGACGCAAAAACGGCCTTGGAGGCGCAAAAAAAAGCTTGGCGCTGAAATGTACATAATGGGGTGATAATTTTATCATTAGACAATTGGGCTAAATTTGGGATACCTTTAGACAACAGACCTGTTAAAGCCCACTGATAGCTCCTGGGCACTTAATATTAGCAGAAGCCACCCACCCTGGATATAGGTTGCAGAGTATGATGTGGTCATTGACTGCTCCCCTGCACTTGGTCTGGGCACAGCCCACCAACTCACTCTCCGCCCATAGCACAGTGATCAGCTGACTCCATTCTTGGGTGCAGAACTCACCTCGCTCACACCTAAACAGATACCACAGTCATCCTAGGCTAGTAAAATTCATTGGAGACGGATCTAGAACTTTTCGAAGGAGGGGGTAATTGTCAAAAAATTTCGATCATGTTGACAACTTTTTACTTATTATCAGGTTGATCAAACTGAGTTTCCGAGCATCCCAAAAACCTATGCAGACAATTCAGATTGTATAAATGCAAATTGGTCCGAATTTACAACAGTCGGTTATGTAAGCACATATAATGTAAAACGAGTTTGAAATGATTTCTTATAAGTGACTGAAAAACGGAAACCTAGTTGAAAAAATTTAACTTAAAGAAAAACATATAGGCTCAGTAGTGACTTTATATAATTGACATAATTTTTCAAAAGCCGTCCTTATCAAAAATGCCCATGCTCGCCAAGTCTTCGGCTTGTCCATATACTTCCAACATCTGATGATAGAAGCATTAAATGGAAAACCACTTACCCGCACTGCGAGAAATCGAAGGGGATGAGATCGTTCTGGTAAGAGAAGATGTACTCCACAAATTTGCCCAAATAGGTCTCTTGAGAGTCGACGTGGGTATTGTCTATACAAAAAGTGGATCTTCTTAACAAACTCTTGCTTTTAAGAAAGGAAGGAGGATTCTTAAAAACTCACAAACTTAAGTTTTGGTGGAAAATAAAAATTCGCAACAACTAGAAAGCAACATATGTTACAGACAGGGGTGGATTTTTTTTGGGGAAGGGCGGGGGGTAAGGGCGGACATCCTCTTCCCTCAGGGGTTCGTCCCCCTTCTTATACAATCCATTTTTAGGATTTAAGGACCAAAAAAAACAATGGTTTATTGGTAAAAATAAAAACAAGCGCTCGAAAAGAAACATGGTTTTTTCGTCAAAAATTTCCAAAAAGTGCCCAAAAACGGCGTTTTGACCTGTTTTTTTTTCAAAAAATTGCCTGCGGGGCAAAAATGTTTATCGAAATACGGTCTTCTAGTGTTCTGGGGCCGCTCAGAAACTCAGTTTGCTTGACATTATAATAAGAAATAATTGACAAAACAATCAAACTTATTTGTAAATACGCCCCCCTCGAGAAAATCCTAGATCCACTTTTGGTTACAGATAGTTTTATGAAGGTAATAACTGCCTTGTGTGGATAAAAATATGAAAATAAATAGTTTTTCGACTAAGTTTTTTCAACAGATGCTTGATGCCGGGGGAGGGGGGAGTTGTTAAAAAAGTTGTTAGATGTTATTAAAAAAGTTGTTAGGAGTTGTTAAAAAGTTGTTAGAAAACGCGCCTTTTTTGGTCAAATATTTTTCTGGCTTGTTTTTTGTATTCATTGTCTTCGCCTTTCTATGGTGAATATATCCTCATTTTTTTTTGTTTTAATTAAAAAATTTGCCGGTAGTGCACAAATGTCTTCTCTTTAGACTAGGGTTTTTGCTTAGACACTTCTGAAAATCAATTTGGTCAAATTTATTTTGTAAAATTCTGCACCCTACCCCCTTTAGAAAATCTTAAATCCGCCTCTGACTACTTTAAATTATTATCTGATCAGCTGATTTGGTTTGTATGGATCCATGAAAATAACTGAAGACCGAGTTAGAAAAATAGTTTTTCTGAAAATTGTTGGGACCTTAATAATCAACCAACATATTACGATAATGAAGATCGCACCAAAAACACAAAAATACAAAGAAAAGTGTCAAAAAAATTTGCGATTAGCAGTTTCTCCTGTGCGTTGCATAATTCACTTATTTAATTTAATCTGGGTTTTATCCGGGTTTTCCTTTTGAGGAGATAGCGACAGAAAGTTAGTGACGTGTGGTTTTTAGCTTTAAACAAATTTTGACTTCTTAAACCGCCACTTTTGACGGGAGTTCTTTGTACAATTGAAAAAACCATCAACGTCCTGCGCGCATAACAAAAAAATTGCTACTTGCAACAACTTTAAAAAAATTATTAAGGCTGTTAAGTTGGCAGTTTAGCTAATTTGGGATAATGGAATTGCGCAAAAATGCTAAATATCAATAAGAGCTTGGTTTAGGGGACGGTGTATTCCAATTTAACACACGAGCTCTCAGGCACAAGAACATAGTCTTGAATAATTCGACTGCCTTCTATTCTCACTCTCACGCTTTTTGTTGAAAAAAATCTAATAAAATGTTCGAGACTAATTTTTTTTATTTTTAAAACAGTTAGAATTAATATTTTTTTACTCTATCTCTTCACAAGCTACGCTAAGTGCCAACTGATAGTTTTGCGTAAGGTACCGCATTAATCAGTGCATATAATTTTTCTCAGATTAATTTGGAAGAATTTGTTGTTCCGACTTTCGATACGAAAGTAACGGAATATTTGTGCTCGGGGTGGGTTTTTCTTTCTTCAGACAAATTTCGGCTTTTTAACTAGCCATTTCAAGTATCAGCGTAAATGTTTCAATTTCCGCAACAAAAGTAATCTTTGTGCTTCTTCGGACAAACAGAATATTTTTTTCTTCAGAATTTCTACAAATTTCTACTTTTCAATTAGCCATTTTTGACAGATTTTTTTTGTATCATTCAAAATGTATTGTTGTCTTGAGCTTAGATTAACAAGATATTTCACCTGTGATTATTTTTCATAGAGCAATGGGGGTTTACATATTGTCATTTTTGTCTAATTTAGAACAATTTTTTAATTTTTTTGCTATATTTATTTTTTTCATGTTATTACTAAAAAGGAACGTTTGCAAGAGAAGAAAGTTGTTTTTTCTTGGTCTTTATATCTTGTTCTCATCGAATTTTTTTAACGAAATTTTAAATACATCTAATTGCAGCTGAGCTAAAATAGCAGGACTTATATGAGAGATACAAAAGTCTTATCAAAAAAGGATATCTCCAACAGTTGGTGAAAAATTCTTGGAACTACTTGAATTTGGAGATCAATTAAATTTTATGAAAGCATTTTTTAAAAACTTTGTAACAATTATACAATTACTTTTTCTTAATGTTTTGGGATAAATAGTTTGGTATTTTGCATTTTCTGCTTTTTTAAAATTTGCGATTAGCAGTTTCTCCTTTGCGTTGCATAATTCACTTATTTAATTTAATCTGGGTTTTATCCGGGTTTTCCTTTTGAGGAGATAGCGACAGAAAGTTAGTGACGTGTGGTTTTTAGCTTTAAACAAATTTTGACTTCTTAAACCGCCACTTTTGACGGGAGTTTTTTGTACAATTGAAAAAACCATCAACGTCCTGCGCGCATAACAAAAAAATTGCTACTTGCAACAACTTTAAAAAAATTATTAAGGCTGTTAAGTTGGCAGTTTAGCTAATTTGGGATAATGGAATTGCGCAAAAATGCTAAATATCAATAAGAGCTTGGTTTAGGGGACGGTGTATTCCAATTTAACACACGAGCTCTCAGGCACAAGAACATAGTCTTGAATAATTCGACTGCCTTCTATTCTCACTCTCACGCTTTTTGTTGAAAAAAATCTAATAAAATGTTCGAGACTAATTTTTTTTATTTTTAAAACAGTTAGAATTAATATTTTTTTACTCTATCTCTTCACAAGCTACGCTAAGTGCCAACTGATAGTTTTGCGTAAGGTACCGCATTAATCAGTGCATATAATTTTTCTCAGATTAATTTGGAAGAATTTGTTGTTCCGACTTTCGATACGAAAGTAACGGAATATTTGTGCTCGGGGTGGGTTTTTCTTTCTTCAGACAAATTTCGGCTTTTTAACTAGCCATTTCAAGTATCAGCGTAAATGTTTCAATTTCCGCAACAAAAGTAATCTTTGTGCTTCTTCGGACAAACAGAATATTTTTTTCTTCAGAATTTCTACAAATTTCTACTTTTCAATTAGCCATTTTTGACAGATTTTTTTTGTATCATTCAAAATGTATTGTTGTCTTGAGCTTAGATTAACAAGATATTTCACCTGTGATTATTTTTCATAGAGTAATGGGGGTTTACAGATTGTCATTTTTGTCTAATTTAGAACAATTTTTACTTTTTTTGCTATATTTATTTTTTTCATGTTATTACTAAAAAAGGAACGTTTGCAAGAGAAGAGAGTTGTTTTTTCTTGGTCATTATATCTTGTTCTCATCGAATTTTTTTAACGAATTTTTAGATACATCTAATTGCAGCTGAGCTAAAATAGCAGGACTTATATGAGAGATACAAAAGTCTTATCAAAAAAGGATATCTCCAACAGTTGGTGAAAAATTCTTGGAACTACTTGAATTTGGAGATCAATTAAATTTTATGAAAGCATTTTTTAAAAATTTTGTAACAATTATACAATTACTTTTTCTTAATGTTTTGGGATAAATAGTTTGGTATTTTGCATTTTCTGCTTTTTTAAAATTTGCGATTAGCAGTTTCTCCTTTGCGTTGCATAATTCACTTATTTAATTTAATCTGGGTTTTATCCGGGTTTTCCTTTTGAGGAGATAGCGACAGAAAGTTAGTGATGTGTGGTTTTTAGCTTTAAACAAATTTTGACTTCTTAAACCGCCACTTTTGACGGGAATTTTTTGTACAATTGAAAAAACGATCAACGTCCTGCGCGCATAACAAAAAAATTGCTACTTGCAACAACTTTAAAAAAATTATTAAGGCTGTTAAGTTGGCAGTTTAGCTAATTTGGGATAATGGAATTGCGCAAAAATGCTAAATATCAATAAGAGCTTGGTTTAGGGGACGGTGTATTCCAATTTAACACACGAGCTCTCAGGCACAAGAACATAGTCTTGAATAATTCGACTGCCTTCTATTCTCACTCTCACGCTTTTTGTTGAAAAAAAATCTAATAAAATGTTCGAGACTAATTTTTTTTATTTTTAAAACAGTTAGAATTAATATTTTTTTACTCTATCTCTTCACAAGCTACGCTAAGTGCCAACTGATAGTTTTGCGTAAGGTACCGCATTAATCAGTGCATATAATTTTTCTCAGATTAATTTGGAAGAATTTGTTGTTCCGACTTTCGATACGAAAGTAACGGAATATTTGTGCTCGGGGTGGGTTTTTCTTTCTTTAGACAAATTTCGGCTTTTTAACTAGCCATTTCAAGTATCAGCGTAATTGTTTCAATTTCCGCAACAAAAGTAATCTTTGTGCTTCTTCGGACAAACAGAATATTTTTTTCTTCAGAATTTCTACAAATTTCTACTTTTCAATTAGCCATTTTTGACAGATTTTTTTTGTATCATTCAAAATGTATTGTTGTCTTGAGCTTAGATTAACAAGATATTTCACCTGTGATTATTTTTCATAGAGTAATGGGGGTTTACATATTGTCATTTTTGTCTAATTTAGAACAATTTTTTAATTTTTTTGCTATATTTATTTTTTTCATGTTATTACTAAAAAGGAACGTTTGCAAGAGAAGAAAGTTGTTTTTTCTTGGTCTTCATATCTTGTTCTCATCGAATTTTTTTAACGAAATTTTAAATACATCTAATTGCAGCTGAGCTAAAATAGCAGGACTTATATGAGAGATACAAAAGTCTTATCAAAAAAGGATATCTCCAACAGTTGGTGAAAAATTCTTGGAACTACTTGAATTTGGAGATCAATTAAATTTTATGAAAGCTTTTTTTAAAAATTTTGTAACAATTATACAATTACTTTTTCTTAATGTTTTGGGATAAATAGTTTGGTATTTTGCATTTTCTGCTTTTTTAAAATTTGCGATTAGCAGTTTCTCCTGTGCGTTGCATAATTCACTTATTTAATTTAATCTGGGTTTTATCCGGGTTTTCCTTTTGAGGAGATAGCGACAGAAAGTTAGTGATGTGTGGTTTTTAGCTTTAAACAAATTTTGACTTCTTAAACCGCCACTTTTGACGGGAGTTTTTTGTACAATTGAAAAAACCATCAACGTCCTGCGCGCATAACAAAAAAATTGCTACTTGCAACAACTTTAAAAAAATTATTAAGGCTGTTAAGTTGGCAGTTTAGCTAATTTGGGATAATGGAATTGCGCAAAAATGCTAAATATCAATAAGAGCTTGGTTTAGGGGACGGTGTATTCCAATTTAACACACGAGCTCTCAGGCACAAGAACATAGTCTTGAATAATTCGACTGCCTTCTATTCTCACTCTCACGCTTTTTGTTGAAAAAAATCTAATAAAATGTTCGAGAATAATTTTTTTTATTTTTAAAACAGTTAGAATTAATATTTCTTTACTCTATTTCTTCACAAGCTACGCTAAGTGCCAACTGATAGTTTTGCGTAAGGTACCGCATTAATCAGTGCATATAATTTTTCTCAGATTAGTTTGGAAGAATTTATTGTTCCGACTTTCGATACGAAAGTAACGGAATATTTGTGCTCGGGGTGGGTTTTTTTTTTCTTCAGACAAATTTCGACTTTTTAACTAGCCATTTTTGACGGAATTTTTTTTATATCATTCGAAAAGTATTGTTGTTCTGAGCTTAAATTTGAAAAGATATTTCACCTGTGATCATTTTTCGTAAAATTACGGGGGTTTAAAGATTGGCATTTTGGCCAATCTGGGACAATTAACGCGCGATACATTTCGCGCTATTAACGCGTAAGCGGAGAGTTAATCCGTCTTAGAAATCGTTCCAAATTGGTTAAAAGAAGCTTATTTGCCATAATTGGTTTGTTACAAGGAGCAAAATCTATCCTTTTGTACTTAATATGTCGTGTAGGGGGATGATTTTCATTTAAAAATTTCAAATTTTAGAAAGAAAATGTTCATTTTATTTCAGTTCAATAAATTTTTTAAGTTATTACTGCTCCATAAACCTCCTTAAAAGGCAGTCGGAACATTCAGGGCTTCGCCTTGATCCAAAGAGTCTTGCTTTACCATTTACGTTTAAGCGATTAAAATATATTGCGCGTTATTGTTCCGGCTTTCGATACGAAAGTAACGGAATATTTGTGCTCGGGGTGGGTTTTTTTTTCTTCAGACAATCTTCGACTTTTTAACTAGCCATTTTTGACGGAATTTTTTTATATCATTCGAAAGGTATTGTTGTCCTGAGCTTAAATTTGAAACAAAATTTCACCTGTGATCATTTTTCGTAAATTTACGGGGGTTTAAAGATTGCCATTTTGGCAAATTTGAGAGAATTAACGCGCGATATATTTCGCGCTAGTAACGCGTAAGCGGAGAGTTAATCCGTCTTAGCAATCGTTCCAAATTGGTTAAAAGAATTGGTTATTTGGCTTAATTGGTTATTTGGCATAATTGGTTTGTTACAAGGAGCGAAATCTATCCTTTTGTACTTAATATGTCGTGTAGGGGGATGATTTTCTTTAAAAAAATTCAAATTTTAGAAAAAAAAATTTCATTTTGTTTTATTTCATTTAATTTCTTAAATGTTATTACTGCTCCATAAACATTAAAAGGCGGTCGGAACATTCAGGGTTTCGCCCCGATACGAGCAGTCATGTTTATCTTAGCTCGAATTATAATCGTCAAAGTGGTCTTAAATAAAAACCGTTTTCAATGTGTAAAATTCACATCAAATAAATTTTGAATATTTAGCTACAGGCAACAATATCCTTCAGTTGCTATAAAAATAGTCAAAATTGACTGAATAAAAACAATCACCCCAATCAAATGCTGTGCGTCTATTGAATCAATATTCAAATCAATTAGAGTCTAATTGATTTGAATATTGCTTCAATAGACGCACAGTGTGTACTTGACATAGCGTGTAGGTTGAAAATCTCTTAAATAATTTTTTAAAATATTTTAATGTCATCTTTGTTGATCAAAAACTAAATCATAAGAATTAATAGGCTGTCGGAACATTCAAGACGTAGCCTTGATACGAACAGTTTTGTTCATGCACCATTGCAGGAGAATCAATGCTGTTTTCTGAGCTTTTTTATGTTTTTTTTCTAATGACGGATTCAACAATCAATTGAAGCTATACACTGGTGTTGCAAATGAAATTGTTAGTTCGTTAACTTTGCTGAAACATTTCCGCAGTTCCGTAATGGCATATACAATAACCTCGATAAGCCGGTTTGCCCTCTTTCCAATATCATTTTTCAAAGCGCGAAACGATTTTTGTATTCATATATGCTTGCAAATTTTTGTTTATTTATGTATGCATGAAAACTTGTATGCATGCGAAAATAAAATATTTTTTGCAAAGTTTTTCAATTTTCCTGGAAGTTTTTTTGAAAAGCGATTATTTTTATTGCTTTTTTGCATTGCGTATGTTTCATTTTGGGCAATCAAATATTGATAAAAAATACCAACAAAGAAGTTAAGCCAAAATTTAGACGTTTGGTTTTTTCGATAAATATGTTTCTTTTTAAACAACTTATCATAGTTTAGGCTGATCATGCATATAATGAGCAGTATAATGTGCTATATTTTGTTTTGATGTATTCAGTGACGCAGGGGTTTAAAAAACAATGTTTTTTTTACTGTCTTTGGATACCAACACGACCCAATAAGTTTGGCAATAAAAATAAGTTAAGCTAAACATGTTTTTTCATGAAAATATTGGAATCATAAAATTTTGATATACGACATATACGAGTTTACAGAATGAGATCAACCCGATCTGTGTGCGTAAACTTCTAGTAAGTTTCCCGATTTGTGTGCGTTCACCATGGCGACGACTTTGTGTAATGATGCGCTCTCACTTGCCCTCTAGCTTCATAAGTCTACCCTGTTCTGGCCTAATTCGGCTGCAATAACCAAAAACAATAGCATGTAATTCTTAAACAGGGGCACAACAGCGGTTCGCCGTGATGAGCTGTACAGCTCTTTCCCCCGTGGATAAATTATCTTAATCTTAATAGTAGTACCAAGTGAAAATTCTAGACGCAAAAACGGCCTTGGAGGCGCAAAAAAAAGCTTGGCGCTGAAATGTACATAATGGGGTGATAATTTTATCATTAGACAATTGGGCTAAATTTGGGATACCTTTAGACAACAGACCTGTTAAAGCCCACTGATAGCTCCTGGGCACTTAATATTAGCAGAAGCCACCCACCCTGGATATAGGTTGCAGAGTATGATGTGGTCATTGACTGCTCCCCTGCACTTGGTCTGGGCACAGCCCACCAACTCACTCTCCGCCCATAGCACAGTGATCAGCTGACTCCATTCTTGGGTGCAGAACTCACCTCGCTCACACCTAAACAGATACCACAGTCATCCTAGGCTAGTAAAATTCATTGGAGACGGATCTAGAACTTTTCGAAGGAGGGGGTAATTGTCAAAAAATTTCGATCATGTTGACAACTTTTTACTTATTATCAGGTTGATCAAACTGAGTTTCCGAGCATCCCAAAAACCTATGCAGACAATTCAGATTGTATAAATGCAAATTGGTCCGAATTTACAACAGTCGGTTATGTAAGCACATATAATGTAAAACGAGTTTGAAATGATTTCTTATAAGTGACTGAAAAACGGAAACCTAGTTGAAAAAATTTAACTTAAAGAAAAACATATAGGCTCAGTAGTGACTTTATATAATTGACATAATTTTTCAAAAGCCGTCCTTATCAAAAATGCCCATGCTCGCCAAGTCTTCGGCTTGTCCATATACTTCCAACATCTGATGATAGAAGCATTAAATGGAAAACCACTTACCCGCACTGCGAGAAATCGAAGGGGATGAGATCGTTCTGGTAAGAGAAGATGTACTCCACAAATTTGCCCAAATAGGTCTCTTGAGAGTCGACGTGGGTATTGTCTATACAAAAAGTGGATCTTCTTAACAAACTCTTGCTTTTAAGAAAGGAAGGAGGATTCTTAAAAACTCACAAACTTAAGTTTTGGTGGAAAATAAAAATTCGCAACAACTAGAAAGCAACATATGTTACAGACAGGGGTGGATTTTTTTTGGGGAAGGGCGGGGGGTAAGGGCGGACATCCTCTTCCCTCAGGGGTTCGTCCCCCTTCTTATACAATCCATTTTTAGGATTTAAGGACCAAAAAAAACAATGGTTTATTGGTAAAAATAAAAACAAGCGCTCGAAAAGAAACATGGTTTTTTCGTCAAAAATTTCCAAAAAGTGCCCAAAAACGGCGTTTTGACCTGTTTTTTTTTCAAAAAATTGCCTGCGGGGCAAAAATGTTTATCGAAATACGGTCTTCTAGTGTTCTGGGGCCGCTCAAAAACTCAATTTGCTTGACATTATAATAAGAAATAGTTGATAAAACAATCAAACTTATTTGTAAATACGCCCCCCTCGAGAAAATCCTAGATCCACTTTTGGTTACAGATAGTTTTATGAAGGTAATAACTGCCTTGTGTGGATAAAAATATGAAAATAAATAGTTTTTCGACTAAGTTTTTTCAACAGATGCTTGATGCCGGGGGAGGGGGGAGTTGTTAAAAAAGTTGTTAGATGTTATTAAAAAAGTTGTTAGGAGTTGTTAAAAAGTTGTAAGAAAACGCGCCTTTTTTGGTCAAATATTTTTTTGGCTGGTTTTTTGTATTCATTGTCTTCGCCTTTCTATGGTGAATATATCCTCATTTTTTTTTGTTTTAATTAAAAAATTTGCCGGTAGTGCACAAATGTCTTCTCTTTAGACTAGGGTTTTTGCTTAGACACTTCTGAAAATCAATTTGATCAAATTTATTTTGTAAAATTCTGCACCCTACCCCCTTTAGAAAATCTTAAATCCGCCTCTGACTACTTTAAATTATTATCTGATCAGCTGATTTGGTTTCTATGGATCCATGAAAATAACTGAAGACCGAGTTAGAAAAATAGTTTTTCTGAAAATTGTTGGGACCTTAATAATCAACCAACATATTACGATAATGAAGATCGCACCAAAAACACAAAAATACAAAGAAAAGTGTCAAAAAAATTAAGCATAGATCAAACTTTTCCCACTACTGTTTCCCATTACTGCCCTCTTAACCTGGCTCTCGGGATCTGGTTTTTGAACGGGTTCTTTCCTACCTATCAAAGTTTACACATAAAAATTTGAGCTGGACGTTTTTGTTTCCGTTATTTTCCATGCTACAGTCACGGGACATAAAATTTGCAACTTTTGGATACAGGCGATAAAATGAACAAAATTTTTCACGTTTGTGCTCTTTTCTCTACGCCACTTAGAGATTCACGGTTGAAATTTTGACGTTGATGGATAAAACTATTTTAAACAATAAACAATACTGCTCGTATCAGGGCGAAGACCTGAATGTTCCGACTGCCTGTTAACATTTATGGAGCAGTAATAACATAAATATCACGCACAAACTGAATTTATAAAATAAAATTTAAAAAAAGTTCTAAAATTTGAAATTTTTTCTTTGAAAACCATCCCCCTACACGCCATATAAAGTACAAAAGAATAGATTACGCTCCTTGTAACAAACCAATCAGGGAAAATAAGCTTCCTTGAACCAAGTTGGAACGATTTCTAAGACGAATTAAATCTCCGCTTACGCGTTAATAGCGCGGAAATATCGCGCGGTAATTGTCCCAACTTGGCCTAATTGGCAATCTTTAAACCCTCATAACTTTACGAAAAAAGATCACAGTTGAAATATCTTTTCAAATTTAAGCTCAGGACAACAATACCTTTCGAAGAATTTTTTAAAAATTCCGTCAAAAATGGCTAATTAAAAAGTCGAAATATGTCTGAAGAAAAAAAAACCCACCCGAGCACAAATATTCCGTTACTTTTGTTAAGAAAGTCGGAACAAAAATCTTAAAATAATGTTTTCAAGGCGCTGTTTGGCGCTTTAATCACAGGGCGTCAGAGAGGTGTTATTAGTGCCTAAGAGTACCCGTAAACAGCAGAAGCAGTCTGAAATGTTGGAATCGACATTTTTCGTTGGAAATCCAAGGATCTCAGCTAGGCTCTAGAATTGCATTTGTTTTTTAACATTTGCAAGAGTAAAACTCAAACTGATGCGTGCCGCATCAAGCCGAGTTTTTATTTTGTTTATTTTGTGGCGGAACGCATGAAAGTAGCTACACCTCCAAGGCTGCCATATGAGAGTTCGAAATGAAATACTGCTAAAAATGAATAGTAATATCAAATTTAGACAGCGCCGTTTTCAGTCTTTTTAGTCTCTATAGCGCTTTCTTATTGTTCCGACTTTCGGTACGAAAGTAACGGAATATTTGTGCTCGGGGTGGGTTTTTTTTTCTTCAGACAAATTTCGACTTTTTAACTAGCCATTTTTGACGGAATTTTTTTTATATCATTCAAAAGGTATTGTTGTACTGAGCTCAAATTTGAAAAAATATTTCACCTGTGATCACTTTTCGTAAAGTTACGGGGGTTTAAAGATTGCCATTTTGGCCAATTTGGGACAATTAACGCGCGATATAATTCGCGCTATTAACGCGTAAGCGGAGATTTATTCCGTCTTAGAAATTGTTCCAAATTGGTTGAAAGAAGCCTATTTGTCATAATTGGTTTGCTACAAGGAGCAAATTAGATTCTTTGTACTGTATATGGCGTGTGGGGGGATGGTTTTCATTAAAAAAATTTAGAATAAATTTTTTTCATTTTTTTTTAAAATTTCACTTAATTTTTGTAATTTTATCACTGCTCCATAAACCTTAAAAGGCAGTTGGAACATTCATGGCTTCGCCCTGATACGAGCAGTCTTGTTAATCATTTGAAGGCAAATGACTAGATTATACAACAAAATCAGTCCTAAACAAAATTAATGTTTTACTAAGAATATCCGATATGTTAAACATGCAATAAACCGCTTCAAAAGGGTAAGCCTCCGTCATTAATCAAAACTAGGGCAAAGATCTGATTTCTACCGTTCGCTTCAGAGAAGCTGTGTTAGTTGATTGATGAGTGTTTACAGCGTTTGCGCCAACGTTTTGCGATCCGCGCCCACCGGCAATTTAAATCGAGTATCGTAAAATCTAAAGTTGAACTATGCCTTGCGTTTGAAGATTTTGAGTCATATTATTAGGTAATTGTTTTATAAGTTGGGATGTTTGACATAGCGGATATTTGACATATCGAACGTTTGCCCTAGACCCAAAAGCTTCACATTCTTTACGAGATGTCTATTTAAAAAAATACAACCTGCTCGTGAATTTTTGAGGCCTGACAAATAAAATTTGGAGATCAAATAATCGAAAATATTTCTTTTTGAGAACAAAAAAAGGGGACTGGATAGGCCCACAATTTTGTGTCTGTATGCTCCTGGATTCCAGAGACAAGTCTTCAAGCACCCGGGTTGACCTCCATACACCGAAAATGCATATCTTGCAATTCCATACACCGAAAATGTTTATCATGCAATTTCATACATCAAATGTATGGAAAAATGCTACTCATACAATTTTCATACAATTTCAGAAAATCATTGAAAAAGGATTCGAACTAGTTTCTGCGGCTATTTGAACCAAAAAAAACATTAAAATAGTCTGGTGATGAAAAAAAACGATGTTTCTTTTTTTTTGAAAAAAATGGTTATCATACAATTCCCATATATGAAAATTGTATGACTAGCATTTTTTGATTTTTGATTGAGCCAGCAAGTAAAATTGAAATTGCCCCAAATTTTTTTTTTAACCGCAAATCGAATTTTTACTCAAACAAACACTTTCCAAAAAAAATGTTGCATGCAAATTTTTTTTGTTTTGCATAACGTAGTCTTGGATACACAAAATTTGGATTTTTTCCGTTTCTCTGGAAAATTTTTTTTCGAAATGGCTAAAAACTCCTATTTCTTTGTATGGCATGTTTATATATGCCTTGATCATTGTCTGATAATTTGAAAATTCTATTTTTAAAAATAACCATCTTTCAAAGTTTTTGCCAAAAATTAAAAATTTGATGCTTTCAGTATATCATTTGTGCAAATAACTCTTTACCACTACAGTCGTTTCAAATGCATTGTAAATGCCAGACGATAAACCCTTTGGTGACTCTAGTTTGGATTGAACCATGGGTCTAGTCACTTGTGTTGGGTCACGAAAACAACCCAAAAATTTTGAGAAACAAATATTTTAAAAAAAATCAAACTTTGATTTATGAAAAAATTCTCATCCCACAACTTCCAAATATGAAAAAAAGCGTATCTTAGAGTTTTCTGAACATTTTCTGTATCTATGGAATTGTACGAAAGTGTAAGATAAGCTTTTTTTCGTATATGAAAATTGTAGGATAAGCATTTTTAAACTTTGTCGGACATGTTAAAACTTTGTCGGATCAAAGGAAATGAAAGAACAAAAAAGAACAAAGGGAGCGTCCTTGTTGCGAAATCCGCTTACAATTCACAAAATGCACAGTTTGGCTTCGTAATGTTGCGTGCAAATAATTGAATTCATTTTTTGAATAAATAAATTTGAAAATTTTTTCGAATATATTTATTTTTTGATTTATGATTTTATTTTCTGTTGTATGCAGAAAACTTTATTCAATTGTACTCAATTTAATTCTACAAACTAAATTGATTATCTAGGCTTTTGAATTTATAGGCTTTTGTTTAGAATACAGACTACAAAAAAATCAAAAAACAACGCAATTGGAAAAAAAAGAGCTTTTTTGTAGTTTTTTAAATTAATATGTCGGAACGTTTTGTGCTACTTACATGGTAACCGGCTATCATTTTAATGCTTTGGAAATTTTTGTTGTTTTGAAACCAATTCAGTAAATTTCAGCAAACTATTTGAGAGGTTTTTAACATGTTCAGCATTACAGCATCGCAGAAAAATTTTTAATCAATAGGTTCGCTTTTTTGTGGACTTCCAACAGATATTATTGGACAATGAGTCAATGAGTTTAAAATACAACTTTTCTTAGCCGTCAATTTTGGTCAAACATAGCTTTTTGACAAAAATAAATGATCCACTTTAATTTCAATTAATATGATAGTTGAGAAATCATGATATGTTCTTATCATTTGTTTTTATAAACGAAAAAATCATGTATGTTTTAATGCAGTTACATCACACTCATATGTGAACAATAAAACATCTTTTGATTAAAGTTCTTCGAAAATAAAAACTTCCAAGGTTCCGCCTTTTTTCCGCGTAAATATGCCACCTTCTACCAAATTAGGCTATTTTAGCATCATCCCGTCGAAATTTATTGCATCTGGTGATAAGGTATCTCTTTAATTCGACACATCTTTTTGTTAGTTTTCTTGTAACTTTTATCCTTCTTTTTCCATCCATCGGTGGCTAGTCTCAGTAATATTATGTGATGCTTTTGATGCTGCCCTCAAACGGATAAGGTCAAACCCAACTCCAGTCCTTATCCCGGCTTTATCTGGCATAAGATTGTTCATGTGTCACTTAGTGAAAGGTTAATTGAGGCAGGAAAAAAGAGACCCGATACGACATTGGTCTAAACCAAACAAGAGTATAAAAAGAAGAGTAACTTGAAAAAAAATCAGGCAAATTTGGAAAATAACTTTGGAGAAGGAATAAATTAGATTGTAGATTTAAAGTTTTCCTACTTGTGCAGCGGCCCTAGGTCCCTCTAGCCTCTGAGGGGAACGAATTCAATTAGCCCCAGGATTAGCCCCCAATTCAACCCGCCCTTCAATTACTCCATATATTCCAATTTGATCACACTGTTTCAATTGCTGTGTGTCAGTCAAACAAAACGGACGAAAAAGAAGACTGATTAGACGAAAGTAGTTGAAGCCGAACTGCTTAAAGTTCTTGTTTAAACCGAATTAGGCGTTGATTTTTTTTGAAAAATCGGAAAGAAACTTTGTTGAAAGCAAAAATAGTTTCCCCATAGCAAGATCAATTACATTTTTAATATAATCGATTAACTAAATGAGAAAAGAATGCTAAAAAATTTGAAAAGTCATAATGGTATGGAAATATCTATCTGTAGAATAGTATGACTAAAAGACACCTAATTTGATACGACTTGGTAGGTGTTGTGTTCTCAGAATATCAAAAGAGATAAGATTTGATCTGGTAGGTTTTAGACGAGATTATACTTGAGTATTATCTTCAAAATCCACCTAAAGTCTGTCTGAGTTTTTGAAGTTTAAATATCAAATTTGCTGCTTCAAATTACTTTTTTTCAGATTTTTGTTCAGCTTCTTAAATTTATAAATGGAATATCCTGCAATTTTGAAAAGTTCGATTTTTGTTCTTTCCTTAAGCATGTACAGAATTAATAAAAAAACGGGTTTAAATTTTTTTCACGCCATCCCAAAAAGCATTTTTTTCACCCCATTTTTTTTACCCCCGCATCTTTTTCACCCCATCCCAAAAATCTGAGAGTATCTTAAATCTCGCCGTGGAAGAGAGCCCGAATGACATGGGAACCAATAATCTGTAAAGACCAAACCAAGCCAAAAATTCCAACATCTGAAAAATATTTGACATTAGTTAGAAAATCTTAGTAATTTTGATTGATGTATTTTTATGTGCATTCGAAGTTGAAAGAGAATAATTGAACACTCCAAACAGCAAGATTTCTCTAGATGAGGGCTTGGTCTACAATGATAAACGGCCATGATAAACTATGATAAACTAGTCCCTTGACAAAACTACGTCTAGAGCTCCCAAATTAATAATTAATAGAAAATTTAACATTCAAGACTATGTCCAAGTATATTTTCAACCACAATTTGTGTGTTTTTAGAGCAAATCACTGAAGAAACTAAGAAACTTCCTCCTTTGCCATCAAAAATAGGGAAAATTCAAACATTTTATCAATTTTGATTTTGAAACCGCATTGATGGATTCTAAACAAAAAAAAACAGGTTAAAATAAGCAGATGTTTCGTATATTAATTCTACAATTTGGATAAACAAGGAATTTAAACAACTAATCATCAACAAGACTGCTCGTATCAGCGCAAGGCCCTGAATGTTCCGACTTTCAAGGTCTATGGAGCAATAAAAACATGAAAATTAAATGTAAGAAAAAAACATAAATATTTTTAATTTGAGATTTTTGCAAAAATCAACCCCACACGCCACATTAAGTTCAAAGTGATAAATTTTGCTCCTAGTAACAAATCAATTATGGCAAATAAGCTTCCTTCAACCAATTTGGAACGATTTCTAAGACGGATTAAACCTCCGCTACCCGTTAGTAGCGCGAAATGTATAAATGTATCACGCGTTAATTGTCCCAAATTGGCCACAAAGGCAATCTTTAAACCCACATGAGTTTAAACCCACATACGAAAAATGATCACAGGTAAAGTATCTTTTCACATTTAAGCTCAGAACAACAAAACCTTTTGAATGATTAAAAAAATCACGTCAAAAATGGCTAGTTAGAAAGTCGAAATTTGTCTGAAGAAAAATGACCCACCCCAAGCACAAACATTTCGTTACTTTCGTTGCGAAAGTCGGAACATTAGCAAATATTATTGTTGGAATTTGAGAAGTGTAGGAAAAAACGTTGCCAGGTAGCTTGGTTTTAATTCGGAACAATTTTGTACCAGGGGTAGCAACTCGTGTTACGCTGTCAAATCATAGATAAAAGAGCACTAGGATAGTGAGTAGCATTTTTTGCATTGCAACATCAAATCTTAAATCAAAATTTACTTCCAGAAAATGGTCTGAAAATTATCTGAATGTTGCGACTGCCATTGAAAACGACTTCAATAGTTTTTGATACAAAAAACATTTTGAAAAACTATAGTTCTTAGGACTGTCAATTCTAAAAATTTAGTGTTGATTTTGAGTATCATAGAAAAATCATAGCACAACCGCTTATAAATGTGTAGAATCCAAGTTTGATTCTCACTCCACGCACTTTTTTGGAAATTGGTCTGATTGAAAAAGCCATCCCAAGCATGTATACTGCTCATTTTCGTGGAAAATTGGATTGAAAGGTACGAGCTGCGAATACTGATTTCACAAAAAGGCCTTGCTTTGACTTTTGGCTCGCGTCAAACTGAGCAAAAGCCTAGTTCCCCAAAAAAATTTAAAAAACCTGGTTTGACCTCCATACAAGAAAAATGATTATCATAACATTCCATACAACAAAAATGCTTATCATACAATTTCATATAAGGAGTGTATGGAAAAAATTGTATCATACATTTTCAAAATATGAAACTGTAAGACAAGCATTTTTTGTTTCAAATTGCAAAAAAAAATCTAAATTAAAAATGCAAACTACAGAAAAAAAAATCGAAATCTCATGCTCAAAGTAGCCTTTTACGCAATACAAATTGCATGCATAAATTTGTCATTTTAGGTTATAAGTAGTCCAGTCTGAATTTTTCAATCAAGATAAACAGAACTTGAAGTTTCTAATGTTTTTATATTGAAGGCTGTACTTCAATTTGTCAAAAATCTTTTTCGCCAAATACACAAAAACTTAAGGTTTTTATTCATAAATTTTAGTGAACTATGAATTACTATCTCATACAGTACTATATAAATGCAAGCTACTCTGAGATTTCTTCCCTCATCCATTAATTATTGTTCTTCCCTCATCCAGATTTCTTCCCTCATCCAGAAAGTCCTTAATTTTTGTGTTTTTGGACAAAAACAACGGCCGAGAAATAAAATTTTTTTGATTCATGGAAAAATGTTTGTCATATAATTCGTGTATTTGAAAAAATGCTTATCCTAGAGCTTTCTTACAAGTTTTTCTACGCTTGGAATTGTACGAAACTGTATGAAAAGCATTTTTCTATGTATCAAAATTATTTGACAAGCATTTTTGGTCAACCCGGGATTTCTGAAACCTTTTTTATTGTCATCCGTTGTCAAATTGTGTAAATTGGAAAACCTTTTGCGTTAGTTTTTTTAGTGTTTTAGCTTGTTGTTTTTGTTTGCTGAAAAATCGTTACGTGAACATGGGATATATAATAGCACTTTATCGATTCTGGAAACTAATTTTGTAAATACTTGAAGGTTAAATCGTTTAGATTAATACAGGTTGGTTAAAAACAGTTGGGGGAAAACTGGTATGGGCAGGGGCGTCTAGGTTTTTCTCGAGGGGGACTGGAATTTTTCTAAAAAATCGAAATTTTTTTTTAAGGTCGAACAAATTGATTTTTGAGCTTGAAGTCAATATAAAGACCCCATTTCGACCAATTTTTCTGCGCCGCAGCCAACTTTTTTTTTAAAAAAGGGGTGTTTTCAAGCTTTTTGGAAAACTTTGACGTGCTACCCCGTCACCACCCACGCCTGTTTCTACCCCATTTGAAACAGAGAAGATTTGGGTCGAGTCGAGACCCTCGAAACATAATTTGCAAACCTCGGCCCGGGGATAAGAAACTCTTGACATTGGATATACTCACAGTACATGAATGCGAGAGTCTCGCCCAGGTAGATGTCGTTCACGTCGTCCCCCATGTCCCTCCAGAACTGTCTGACTAGGGGGGAGGAGTCTTGGTGTTCGTTGTGCTTGTAGAGACACTTGTCCGTGTGATTCTGTGCTATTTGCTCCAGTCTGTCGTCCCAACGCTGCGAAAAAAAAACAATAACGGCTCTTTGATTGTTTGTTATCAAACGTATTTCTCTTCAACGGGGGGGGGGGGGATACTAGCGATGAAACTTTTTAACTTTTTAAGTAAGATGAAGTGTACAAACATAAACTTGACGGGCTAAACTTGTGAAACATTTTAAAACCATTGACTGATAAAGTGCTTTTTTATCACGATAGCCTATGTTCGTTTTGATTAATTATATTTTATAAAAAATTCATCCAATAATTATGGCCGATTTGATTTGAAATAGCTCAGCGCTGCTATCTCCTTTTGACTGAGGATTCCAAAGTAGAACAGAAAAAAAACAGTTTGTCGTCACTGAAATGTTTTGGATGTGATTACGGTAGGGGCGGATTCAGGGGGAGGACGCTTCTCCCTCAGCCATTCGACCCCCTGCCGACCCAAAGGGTCCCCCTTTGTACTATTTTTAGATATCCATTTTTGGCTGACTGACCCTATAATTTCTCTAAAAAGGCCTAAAAACGCCAGCGGGACAAAAAACTTGACCAAAACAGGGTCTTTTTAGTGCTTTCGGAGAGCTCGGAAAATCAATTTGGTCAATCTAAAAAAATGAAAATTCGTCCCCCCCTCGAGAAAATCCTAGATCCGCCCCTGAATTACGGTACGTTGTTACTTTTATTTGAACATCAAACACAAAAACCGCTGAGCTTGTTGTCAAATTACAATCACTCAAAAATCTGATAACTCTTCTGGGTAAAATTGGTGGGGAATTTTTACTTACGTGACCTGTGTCTAAATTAGCAAAACGTCAATGAATGATCATTAATCAATAATATTGTTTTTGCGCTAATTTTTCTGTCTTCGGCATTCATCACTCACCTTTGCTCATTCAACTTTAGTTCACTCACTTTTGTTCATTCAATTTTTGCTCATTCACTTTTGTTCATTCAATTTTTGTTCACTCACTTTTGTTCATTCAACTTTTGTTCCCAGTATAACTACCAGCATAGTTTTAAAAAAATAAACATAAACCCAACGCTTAAAATTTTGCTTTAAGAGAAGGGAATTAACTTGATGTGGACTTCAATGGAAAAAAAACAACTTGAAGTCAGAAAAAGAACAATCGAGATCTATTACTATATATCTATCTGTAAGAAATAGTTTTGATTTCAAGTGGAGCATTCTTAAAAACAATTTTTGATTGAAGCGTTATCATGCTAAAACGAGCAATTAACAACTTTACATTATATATATATATATATATATATATATATATATATATATATATATATATATATATATATGAACACACACAAAGGAAGCTATGACGTTTGCTGAATAAAAATGGATTATAATCCATTATAAAGGATTTTAATTCAATGAAATTTGAGAAAAACAAACTTTAAAAAAATGATCGATTATAATCGATTGTAATCGTTTATAATAGTTTTTACTGTTTCGAAAAAAGTAACATTATAAGTAACATTATAATAGTAACATTATAATTCATTTTTAATCAATTATAACCACTTCTATTTAACCAACAGTAACATTATAATCCATTTTTTGTCAATTATAACGAATTTTTTTGAAATTTATGGAGACTGAAAATAAAATTCCATTACAATCTATTCTTTTTTCTTTATACTGAGTGCGGGTAAAGCTTTTCGATTTATAAAACTTAGGAAAAATATTCAAAAGATGACAAATTTTTGATAATTTTTCATCTTATAATTCTAATTTTTGATAAGTACTTTAGAACACGCTTTCTTAACTACAAAGTGAATAAAAAGCCTGATAACCTAATAAAAAGTGCTAATTTTAAGCCTCAATTCAATTTTGAAAGATTAAGTTTGCTGCTAACGCTTTAGTAGGACAAAAAATATTGCGCGTTTTTTATCCAAATATGAATAAAAGTTGTCAAAGTAATCTCAAGTTCAAGCCCCTATAAATTAAGAACAAATAGTCACAGGCTAAATTTTTTCTCAATTTTGAGCCAAGGGCATAGGTTTTTTTTCAGATGGCAACAAAAGTTTGCGCCAAACATAACTCGTTGAAAAGTCGAAATTTTTCTGAAGAAAAAAACTTTCCGAGTTCAATCATTCCATCTCTTTCTTAGAAAGTCAGGACAGTACTCACAGTTGAATCTTTTTTAAAGTTTGAGCTCAAAGTCAATAGCTTCCACCTGAAAAAAAAAACTCAAAAAAAACAAAAAGTATTCCCAGCAGAAAATTTTGTCACTTTCTTCGAAATAGTGTTCCTGGACGAAAAAATTGTTTATAATTCTAATTACCCAGTAGAAATAAACTCCCAAACAGCTGCAGACTACTGTTCTATTGTTAACAATGACACGGTAATAAACAATAACGCATGAAAAGTCGTCTCTGACAGTCCGCATATGTTTTTCGGCTATTAGGATGATGGTATCTGCTTTTTTTCCTGGTCATTTGCTTTGGTCCGTTCAGTTGCTCTTTTGATTTTAGTTCAACCTTCCATGTCTAATTGAGCAACCTCTAGTCGCCCTACTACTGTTTTTAATATCATTAAACGATGCAAAAAACTCCTCCCTTCACGCTTTTGAACTTTTCGACCGCCATAAAAACTTTAAATCCACATTTTTATCCCCATATGATGCGTAAAAAACTACCCCAGGATTGAAACAACTTTGAATCAACTTATAATTTAGAATTGGTAAACAGATTGAAACTTTTGCAGCTGGTTATCTTTGATTTAAATTTAGAACTATGGTTGGGAGTATAAGAGTTGACGTATGCTAGGCTTCATCAGAATTAGCGGAATATGATTGTACACTGCTGCAGATATGTAGAAAACCACTCAAAAAGAGCTCGGGAATTGAGTTAGGCCAAATGTCAAACTAAAAAAATTTGGACAAAAGTTCGAGAGTTTTTTTGAAAATCAGCCAAATTTTCCATTTCGCGAAGATCTTAAATATGATTTTTCTCAAGGCCCTCTACTTTAAGTTGTAGGATTTTTGGGAGAAGATAGGGGTGACAAGTGTATGCGTGTGTGTGTGTGTGTGTGTGTGTGTGTGTGTGTGTGTGTGTGTGTGGGGGGGGGGGTGTTGGAATTGAGGAGCTAGTAGAGAATAAATGTCCGTTCCATTTGCGACCGTGTCTCCAATATTTCCATTTGCACATTTTTCCCCACAATCTCTGGGGAAATGGAACAGGAGAAGAGAAATTGGAGAAAAACAACAGCAAAATTGGAACAAAACAAGCGAACAAATAAAAGAGCAAACGAGAGTCTTATTTCACGCTCCCTGATTTCCATTATTGGCCGCGAAGATCAAATTTCAGAAGACAAAAAAGCTTAAGAAACAAAGCAGGAATACTGAAACATTATATTCAGCTAAATTCATGAACTAGAAAAGGCTACTGTTTGACCTGGTTCAAAAAAAAGATACCCGCTCAATCAAAAAATCAAACAAAAGGAACAAAAAAGCCGATTGAAACAAAATCATGACCTTTATTTTGTTTGCTAAAGTCCATTATGAGAAGTTAAACTAGAAATAGCATAAAGGATTCGATTTTGTTTGGACAGCAAATGATAGGGTACGGCAATAACTACTAGTGTAATAATTGAACTTGAAAAATAATGAACATTCATAATTTGAGTTTATCTTAACCCGCAACACGAAAATTGCGTCAAGTCAAAGTCCTCTCATTCTTTTTATGAACAAAAACACAATTAAACTTAGTCTGGGCAGCAGTCATAAAATACGGGATTTGCTAGAGGAACTAATCAAAATCGGATTTCAAATGGCACAAGCTAGGCGTTTGTAAAAAGTAGAATATGATTGTAAAAAGGTGAAATTGGGAGTTGAGAAGATTATGCAGTTATTACTATGATATTATTATCCAAGGTATGATACTGGTAAAAGTTAATATGCTCCCTAGTCGAGATCCCACTGAAAAACCGCTCAAGGTTTGAGCGGTTTGAGCGGTTCCTTAGACGATTGAGCTCAAACCGCTCAAAAACAGCTCAAATCCTAAAAACGATCAATTATTTCGAAACTGTTCAAAGATTTTGAGCGGTTTTGAAAGTTTTGATTGTTTCTTGAAACGATTTGAGCGGTTTTTGAGCGGTTTGAGCGCAATTGTCTAAAAAACAATTCACACTGCTCAAATCTTAAGTCAAATCAAAGATTAAATCAAAGGTTAAAAGTTCAGACATTTGAAGGTCCATGGTGTGTGCCCTGCAACGAATACATCGGTAGAAAACTTTTGGGATAAAATTGTTTCAAAAATCTTTACAAGAACCGCTCAAAACTTGAGCAATTTTTTTTGAAATTTCATCCCAAAAATTTTCTCCCGATGTATTCGTTGCAGGGCACACAACATTAACCCTTAACTTAAAACCTTCTAGGATCCAAAGAACAGTCTCCTAAAACGTCAAATAAAATTGTTCAACATATAGAAAAAAAAAACAGTCAAAAAACGCTCAAAAACGCTCAAAAACAGCCCTCGTTTTTAAGTGATGATTTAAAAAAATCTCAATTCAGTGACAGAAAGAGACAAGACTGCTCGCATCAAGGCGAACTCTTAATTGTTCTGACTGCCTTTTCAGGCCTTTGGAATAGTGTTACCTTCAAATTTAATTAACGAAATCCAAAAAAAATAAACGAATCAAAAAAAACTTTGAGATAAAGTACAAAAATATACACTATTTATATAGCAAAGTATTAAATAGAACAAATAGCATGCCTCAACACAAACTGGAACCATTTCTAAGACGAATTAAATCATCTCCCACTACGTGTTAAGAGCATGAAATGTAAAGTGCGTTTATTATCATATATTGGCCATAACGGAAAAGTTTAAACCCCCCATAGTATTACGAACATTGATCACATGTGAAAAAAAATTGAACTCAAGGCAAAATTATCTTTCAGCTAATATTTAAAAAGTTCTTCAAAAAGTACTTGAAAAGTCAAAAAGTTTCTGGAGAAAAAAAAACACCCATTGCACAGTTTTTTTTGTCGGAAAAAAAATAAAA